GGTATTCAACAACGTGAAATAATATGCTTCTCCTTTAAAGGTGAAGTAATGGATCATGCTTATTGTAATCCACTTCTGAAAATATCATTACAAAGAGAATGTGAGAGTGCTATATGTGCTACTGAATGGAAAACATCAGACTGGACAATGGTTTGGTGGATTTTTATTTTGTGCTTGTGTGTTGTTTATATATATATATATATATATATATATGCCGACCTCGATCTTTTTGCCTGACCTGATGCCAATCTCGATCTTTTTGAGGTTGGCCTCAGGTCGGCAAAAGTTATATGAAATAAAGTTTTGACCATAAAACATAGAAATGAGGTCGGCAATTTTTTGCCGACCTCAAACACATGCCAACCCTAATTTCGAGGGTTGATATATATATATATATATATATATATATATATATATATATATATATATATATATATATATATATATATTTATATATATATTATATATATATATATATATATATATATATATATATATATATATATATGTATATGTATATATATATATATATGTATATATATATATATATATATATATATATAGATATATATATATATATATATATATATATATATATATATATTATATATATATATATATATATATATATATATATATATATATATATATATATATATATATGTAGTAATAGTAATAGTAGTTAATGCTGTACTGGATCCAGTGAGTGTGATGTAGCACACACTATGACAGCAGTTATGCTTGATTGTTGTTCAGCCAGCAATCAAGACCTCTTTTAAAACAATTAACAGACTTTGCTGTTACAATTTCAATCGGAAGTAAATTCCATGTGTTCGCAATTCTGTTAAAAAGAAAATGTTCCCTCGAAGGATGTTTAGGGAATTCTTTGTGGTATTTAAAACAATGCCCTCTTAAAGAATTTTTAACAAGTGGAAAAGACTTTCTTATGTTTGTTTTGTCAATACCATGCATAAGTTTGTATAATGCTATCAAGTCTCCCCTTTTTCTTCTCTCAGTTAAGGTTGTTAAGCCTAAAGCAATAAGTCAATCTTCATATTTGAGATTACTAATTGATGAAACAATTTTAGTTGCTCTGTGTTGTATTTTCTCAATCGCATTACAATCTTCTTTCATATAAGGAGACCAAACTGGAATTGCAAATTCAAGAAGTGGACGAATGAATGTTAAATAAAGAGATTTCATAAGTTGACAATCGAAGCTTGCAAACGTTTTCTTTAATCGTCCCAGCATTTGATTTGCTTTTCCAATTGCCATAGTTACTTGATCTTTCCATTTAGGATTTGTCGAAAATATAACTCCAAGATCTCCTTTATTAAATATAAACAAAAGTTAAGCATAACAGAATCTGTAAGTGATCTTGGAGTAAATGTAGTAAAAAATTATTTAGCATGTAGATACATCCAAGCAAATACTTGTCATTGTCAAAATATATATATAAATGTATATATAGATATATATATAAATATATAGTATATTATATATATATATATATATATATATATATATATATATATATATATATATATATATATATATATATATACACACATATATAAATATATATATATATATATATATATATATACATATATATTATGTATATACATATATATATATATATATATATATATATATATATATATATATTTTATATGTATATATATATATACATATATATATATATATATATATATATATATATATATATATATATATATATATATATATATATACATATATATATGTCATTGTCAAAATATATATATAAATATATATATATGTATATACATATATATATATATATATATATATATATATATATACACATATATATATATGTATATATATATATATATATACATATATATATATATATATACATATATATATATATATATATATATATATATATATATATATATATATATATATATATATATATATATATATATATATATATATATATATATATATATGTATATATATATATATATATATATACATATATATATGTATATACATATATATATATATATATATATATATATATATATATATATATATATATATATATAATATATATATATATATATATATATATATATATATATATATACTATATATATATATATATATATGTATATATATACACATTCTTGCTTGGTCATCATTAATTTTTTCCATAAAATATAAACTTAATGTTGTTTAAAAAAAAATAGTTTAGAAGACCAGAAAAACTTTAAAAGTTATCAACAAGTTCCCAAAGTATATGTCATCAGAATTTGCAATAGATTAGGCTGGTAATCGATGCTCAAGATATTATTTTAATGTTTCTAAGCTATGTTTTGTTATACTTTGCTATTTTTATCTAAAGATATTGTTGGATTAGCAAGGGTACAGCTACAAATAGTGGTAACAAACGATTATCCCATAGTAGTATTATAGACCAACTATTACATAAGATGTTGAAAGATATTTGTGTTTTCATACAATTTATATTTACAAAGATATTTTAGTTAATTTTTGTGTTAGTGAAAGATGGTTTATAAAATATTTTATGTGCATAATTTTTAGATTTTCTTGAAGATCATCTGAAACTTATGTTTTTCTGAAACTTATATTTTTCTTAGTGTTTATTTATAGTGATCCTTAATAATAAGATCCATACTAACATGTATAATAAGATCAATACTAATATCCAACTTAATTAATAGCTAGGTTTTATAAGTTTCGTCATGCATAGCATGTACAATTTTAGCATTTTTATTACAGTAGATAGTAGTTTTGAATTTTTTATAAAAAAACATTGCAAATGTTGAAAATGATCAGGAAAATTCATCGGATTTTTTAAAAAATTCAGGGAAAAGTCAGGCAATCATATTTAAATAATTAGCTGCGAACCCTAATTTATCTGACACAATCTGTCTTCAAAGATATTTTTACTCCGAAACCCATCAACAAATACAATTTGAGAAATACTGATTAAATGAACTTTTCTGTCAAACGAACTTTAATCAATTTAGTATTGCCTATCGGGCACCACACCTTTGGAATAAAATTGTTTTGCCCAATTTTGACTTCGAACTACCCATTACTTTTTGTTTTTTTAAAAGTGAATTAAAAACCCTAATTTTTTCATTAGATGACGTATTATGTTATTATTAATAATATGAATTAATAACTTTGCCTTTTCTTATTTACATTTGTAAAAAGTTTATTCTTACTTATTTTGTTGATTTTATATTCTTTACTTAACGTATACGTTTATATAAAATATTGGTGAGTAGATCTGCGTGATCTCTCTTTGGATTATATAATATATATTTGGATTATATATATATATATATATATATATATATATATATATATATATATATATATATATATATATATATGTATATATATATATATATATATATATATATATATATATATATATATATATATATATATATATATATATATATATATATATATATATATATATATATATATATATATGAAATTTGTAAAAATTTGATACTGTTAATGCTTGTTTGAACTTATTTAAGGTTCTGACGACAAGATCCTTTGATCTTCTTTCAGATACCTTATTTTATATTTGTGAAAGTTTATTATTATTATCATTATTTTTTTTTTTGACAATATATAGTTGTAATACGACCAACAAATGTAAAATTGAAATAAAAAAAAAATTAAAAAAAAAAAAAAATCTTTTGAAGCCATAGGCCGAAAACTTGACTTAAAACAATTTTTAACAATTCAAGACGTAATTTTTCAATAAACTTTTTATTATAAAATTTTTCCAAATATAAATTTAAAAGAATAGTTTTTCTATCAAAAATGATGCTTGATTTATTTTATTAAACCATAAAAATATTGTTTTTTTCATTTTCGAAGGTTCATAAAAAATCATAACAAATATTTAACAATTTTTTTTTTTTTAATATGTTCATTTTTTTTCCTTTCAGTGTTCTTCCACGTGTGGTGCGGATGGTAAACAATCAAGAGTTACGTATTGTGGTTATAAAAATTCTTATCTGAAAATATCTCCAAAAAATTGCATTTTGCATGCAAAACCTGAAACAACTAGAGGTTGTAATAATTTTCCATGTGATCAAGGTAAAAATTTATTTTTGCATAATTATTAATATTACAGGAAATTAACAGCATGTATTTGAGAGGTTTACTTAAATAATGTTTTAATCTCTAGAGAGTTGCGTAGACCGGAAGGTAGACTGCAGCATCATAAAAGGATTAGGATTTTGTAAAATGGAAACATACAAAAGCCTTTGCTGCGAAAGTTGTCGAACATTTTGAGCTATTTCTAATATTTGTACATTAAAAAAAAAAAGTTATAGTGTAAATAGAATTTAAATAAAATTCACTTTTAAGTCTTGTAGTTTCAAACGGTTGCAGAAATGTTGCACAACAGTTGCGCAACAACTAGGCTTTAATATGTATGTATATATGTATATCTATATATGTATATATATATATATATATATATATATATATATATATATATATATATATATATATATATATATATATATATATATATATATATATATATATATATATATATAGACTCAAAACAAAATATATATATATATATATATAAACATATATATATATAGACTCAAAACAAAATTATACTATGTCACTATGTCACATATAAGAAAATTATCGACTGCGCACTTGTATTCGATGCCACTGGTGGTCTACTCAGTAACCAATTAGCAAAACTCCAGCGGACCGCTGAGGACCAGTGAGATCTATTGCAAAATAGATCTACTGCAAATCCATGACAAAAATGTTTGCTGGGTAGTTCCAGGTGCTTATTGTTTAACAGATAAATCTTTACGTGTTTGCGCTAAAAAATTAATATTTGGGGTAACCAGGAGAAACATTGAGTATATAAAAAAACCAGTTGAACTTATTACTTTAATAACTGTAGTTGCGATTTTAAGTTTTCCGCGTATAACAGATAATATGCTTACTTTTTTGTGCAAAAATTTTTACAGGTTTATGAACTCATGAAATACCTGAATCATCACAGTTGATTACTTTTTGTGGCTGAAATTTGCGTCTTTTTTTTATGAGTTAGTGAACAAGTTACACATTTCTCAACTGGTTTCTTGTTAAGTTCATTCACGCTGTTTCAAAAAACAGCTTTAGACTTGCAAAGAGAGAGAGAGAGAAATCCCGCTTTAAAAACATTGAAACAAATTCTTAACTAGGAAGTTTAGTCACTTTTTTTTAAGGATATCTAACAAATTTTTATAATATTCACACACTATTACATGTATTTCTTTTATAGATAATCCATATAAACCATTGACTTGATGTATAATAAAAGATTCTGTTCAACTTCTATTTTTTTTTTTTTTTTTTTTTTGTTCTTTATTACAATATTTATGATACAGATACAAATAATATAAAAGAAAAAAAGTTAACAAGTCAAGATATTTTCAAAAAATAAAGTATAAAAATAAATATAAAGAACGAGAAACCTTGATGCAAGCTGTAAACACCATAACAAAAGGAAAAAATCTCATTTCTTCGTCATGCATAGTACGTACAATTTTAGTATTTCCATTACAGTAGATAGTAGTTTTGAATTTTTTATAAAAAACATTACAATTGTTGCAAATGATCAGGAAAATTCATCGGATTTTTAAAAAAAGTTAGAACCTTTTTTTTTTTTAATGGTTTTATCCTTTTATTATGGTGTTTACGGCTTGAATCAATCAAATTACTGTGTCTTCCGAACAGCTGACTCATGCAAATAAAAATGTTCATAATTTTCTAGATAAATCTCTAGCGCACACTGAATCTAATTTGTCAAAAATAATCAATGAATCTTATTAATCACTATATATTATTTACTATATACCACTGTATATAATCAATTTAATCACATTTCCAGACTGAATATAGAACATTTCCAGATTGTCCAAAAGGGCCTAGATATAATGGTTATCGCTGTGTGTTTGGCTAAACACACAGCGATAACCATCGTATTAGCGTAAACGGAAATTACCAAATTTCCGTTTACGCTTCTGACAACAAAAACGCCAAGCCACTGCCAAATATATAAATTACTGTTTACGCTTCTAACGACAAAAAACTTGCTTTTAAATACCAAACTTTATACAAAAATGCGATAAGCTGCTGTTCAACTGGTAATTAGGTGGCTTAGTGGCAATATGCCTGTGTAGAAGAGATTTTGATACCCCTATGTATCAGCAATATTTCTAATACCAGTTTTTTTTTTCGCGCCTAAACAGCATTTTTCATTGAGCTTTTATCACATTTTCTACGGTTAATCATTTTTATGTAATTTCTTACAATTGCTTTGCATTTCTATGAATTTATTATTAATATTTCTTTTCTAAAAGAAATTAAAAATAAAACCATCACATATATAAACAGCCTTATATAATAGTGTTAACTTGTTGCCTAAATATGTCTCCCCACTGGCGAGGAACAGGGGGAGGGGGAAGCCTTTAAAGTAATAGCCCCCCTTCCCGCTCCCACCGCACATACATACACACATTATCGGAAAATCTCTGTTTATTCAATTCAAGCTCTCATTCTGGCTGCCTTAACCCCTCTTAATTTTAGTTTCATAAATCTTTATTTACACAAAAAACTTTTGTATTTGCAAACTTGGTGATGCAATTTGATACTTTGAATGTATTTGGTATTTCTAATATTAATTTGAATGTATTTGGTATTTCTAAAACTAATTTATTTTTACCATAATAACACAGAATAGTTCAGAATGTATGATTGGTGTAGTATGAGATTTTTACTCCCGCGTTTTTTTACTCAGTAAAAATCGCAAATTAAGTTTTTACTCCCCAGTAAAAATTGCATATGAAATTTTTACTCCCCAGTAAAAATTGCATATGAAATTTTTACTCCCCAGTAAAAATCGCATATGAAATTTTTACTCCTGTTATGAGGTTTTTACTCCCATAAAATATTTTGCAGCAAAATGTACTTTTGCAACCAAACCACATTGTATTTTGTGAATATTTTTAAACGTTTTAATTACTTCAGTTTCTAGAAAAGCAATAAAGAAACGAGTATTTAAATAAAAATATTAAAATCTTTGTAATAATACAGTTGCATAAATGTAGTTAAATTCATTTAATGATGATAATGTTAAAACTGAACTAATTATCAAAGACGTCAAATCAAGCAACACATATGATAATATACAACATGAAAGCGTTGTAAATGTTTCAAATAAAAGAACATCAATATATCGTTGTTCCTTGGCTTGCTCGCAAGCCAAAGAACAACGATAGTTGTTGTTTGTAACTGAAAACATTTTTAATACTATTTGTCTGACAGAAATTTGGTGTTGTACAAATGAGATCTTAAATAACTCTAATTTCCATCTCTCTGGTTTTGAAAAAATTTCATTAGAAAGACATAATAAAAAACGTGGTGGAGGAGTTCTAGTTTATGTAAAAATAAAACTTTGCACATAACTTTTGTTAGAAGCGGTTTGAGCGTTTCTGACGGTGATAAAGAGATCGTAAGTTTTGAGATATCAAACAATATAAATAAAACCATTCTTTTAACCTGCTCTTACATAGGCCACCTGACGGAGCTTGTGAAAACTTTAGCCGTTTAAAGAACAATTGTCCTTGCTTCACTGAAATCAACATTAGCGTTGATGCAAATAAAATTTATAATAAGTTCTATGAAATATTTTACTATGTCTATGATGCAAATTTGTGAAATTACACTTGATCTGAAAACTTTAAAAAGTCCTTGGATTACTTAAGGACTAAAAAAATCATCCGAAATAAAGCAGAAACTGTACATTAAATACTTAAAAACAAAATCCTCCGTAAATAAAGATATAAAAAAAGTTATAAGATTTATTTGAAAAAGTTTGAAAAAATATTTAAAAGAATTATCATTCAAATCTCATAACAAAATTTAAAAATGACTCCAAGTGAACATGGGGTATTATAAAAGAAATAAACGGCAACTTTAAGACCTGCTCAAGCCCCCTGCCAAAAACGATTACAGTGGAAAATTAAAGTTTAAACGAACCAAACAAAATAGCGAACAAATTTAACAAATACTTCACGAAAATTGAACCCGTCATTTCGAAAAGGGCACAAGTCCATTTATTCAAACTTTTCAGGATCAACAAAAATAAATTTATAAGAAAAAAAGTTTATGGTGCTAAAGAAACTGAATATAAGAGTAGATAAATAAAAGTCATACAAAAGTTTTGAGAGTTTTATTTATTATAAAAAAACAACATACAACACTTATATTTTTAATTTAAATTTATGGACTTTTGTCTTTTTCGAAATGAACACTTTTTTGTATAAAAATTCAAAGATTATCAGAAGAATAATGATTTATTATTACATAAAAACAATTATTGTTAGTTAATCATCACTTAATTCATTGTTTGTCGAAGTTGTTGGCCAAGTAAAAATATTTGTATAGAAGTTTTGGTACTCTTCTATTGAATATAGAATATATTTTTCTATTTTTTTCAAATTTGATATCTTTTTTTCATTGATAGGCAATTTTCCAACATATGCAAGAGTACTACTTAATGGTAAGGTTGGCCTTGTACCCATCCTTTGTAATCGCTGAAAATCATAACTGACTAAACAATCTATGGATTCACGTGTTGTCACTAAACCTAGTGTGGTCTTAGAAAATGTGACACTTTAGAAATACCAAAAGTAACATTTTTTGTCCTTGGGTACTCCTTTTCCATAAGAATCCACAGATAGCACAAGTTTCTTATAATGGTTTGGCCACCATTTTTTTATATCAATAATATCTTCAGTTTTGGGCCTTCTAATTTCAAATTTTTCGCTTGCTTCAGCTATAAAATTTTCATACTCTGTTGGTGTGTAAATCCAATCATTTTTTCGAATATGTCGCTTTGCTGTTCCAAACATTCTATCATTAGGCAAGAATGAGTGACCTCTTTTTGGTATGTAATATTGTATCTCATTTATATTGTTATCTAGTTCAGCTACATCTACATCTACATCTACAGCTACATCTACATCAGCTACATCTAGTTCAGTGATAAAAGTATTCGGACCATGGCATGATTTCTGTTTTGGCCTGCACAACCATCCGAAAATAGGTGCAATTCTTTGGCTTCGTTGACAATATTTTTTTAAATATAATCCAGCACAAAGGTACATACTTCGTTGGAACCTTTGTTAGCAACTCCTTCACAATATGAATAAAATACTGATTTACCAGTTTTAAAATCATATATGCAAAACTCATACAGCCATAGTTGACGAAGATAAAATATTTCCTGGACAGGGATTTGTGGAAGTGGCAAACTTTGCATGAAATCAAATGAAATCCCATACACATT